TTTCCAGTATCGCACGTGCCTTCCCTCTTAAACACGACACAAGCACGGCATTCTTTGTCTCCTCTCCTCAACGATTCGCACGAGAAATTAAATCGAATTGCGCGAAAAACTCGCACAAGGGAGCACTCCCGTCAAACGTGTCCGGCTTTATTTTCACACCCGTTGTTCCACGGAAGGAAACATTTGAATCGGTTCGATCGCCAGAACCCGCGACAGCTTCAACGTTGTTTGAGCGATTGCAAATATTCGCGACATTTACGTTCCGATCTCGCGCATTATTGTCGATATTATTGAAAGGACTTAGCTGGTTTATTAGAGTAGTTTCTCGTAGCCGTTCACGCAAAAGTCGTAATTCCTCGTCGCGCTGTCGAAGTTCTCGTCACGCTGCGTGATCATCGTCTCAAAGGCGGCTTGTCGCTGCTGTTGTTCCCGGAAGGAGGCCTCGAGCGTAGCGTTTCGCTGTTGCTGTAGCGCGCGCTCCTCCCGTATCTCTCGAAGCTCCTCCAACGTTGCGCGCAGCACCTCCGCGAGACTCAAAGTCTCCGTTCCTTCCTGTGTCCTTGCGCAAACCCTTTTCCTTGTTAAAGCCATCACAAACACAGTTCACTGATCGTTCTTTTCGATCCGCTCGTCCGTTCGATCCCGGACGAGCCCCCAAAATGTTATGCCCGGGGCGGTGAATATCGCGTTTACGCACTCGCTCGCGTAACGTTCGCGCTTCCGCACTCGCGCTCGCGCACGCGCACCGGATGGCCGCAGAGAAATAAAAGGAACACCAAATTAAGAACACAAGGAACACTCTCTTTATTATAACTAAGAACAGAGAACGTGGCGAATAGACAGAGCAGAGCAAAGCACGTCCGCACGGCACGACGGCTTGTCTCAAATCTAATGTGTCGTCTGTTTGACAGACGACAACGCGTCGTCAGGGAAACATCCGACCGCTGGACCAGCTCGCTGGTACATCGAACGACGCGGGCGTAGAAACAGGCGTAACAATATATGTATATATTTCTTTTATAAAATAATTAAATAAATATTCTAATTTAAAGGAAAATCACAGGAATCACTTAGCCTACAATTTAGAATTGGTCAAAGTACAATATCGGCAATAATAAAAGAAGTATGTACAGCATTGATCACTACTTTAAAAGATGAGTTTCTTTGTATGCCAAGATCTGCAGAAGAATGGAACTGTATTTCTTACGACTTTGGACAGAGGTGGAATTTTCATCATTGCATCGGTGCAATGGATGGAAAACATATCCGAATAGATTTTCCTTTTAAATCGGGATCGTCTTATTACAATTACAAAAATTTTGCGAGTGTTGTATTATTGGCTGTCGTTGATGCGCATTTAAGATTTATATATATTGATTTAGGCTGTAATGGGAGATTGAGTGACTCTCATATATGGAACAAGTGTAGCCTCAAATCTCACTTGAACAGTAATAATCTTTCTTTGCCTCAACCATCTCTATTACCAGAATGTAACGCTAATTTTCCATATGTATTAGTTGGCTATGAGATTTTCCCTCTTACAACGAAATTACTCATTCCATATCCAAAAGATCAATGTCGTAATCGGCTAGATAGAAGAATTTTTAATTATAGGTATGATCTAAATATAATCTGCATTATGATCTTCAAAATTAAACTTAATAAATTGCATAAAAATTGGCAAATTATTATGAATACTAGTGTTAATTATAGAATTTATGTGCTACATTATTTTTATAGACTATCACGTGCCAGACGCTGTTCAGAAAATGCATTTGGTGTACTGGGTGCAAGATTTCAGATTTTTCGAACAGCTATGAGATATGACCCTGATGATGCAATTCGAATTACAATGACCTGCTGTTGTCTCCATAATATGTTGCGCAGTCAAGCTATAGGTTGTGCTAGGTATACTCCACCAAATTTCCTCGATGAAGAAGATATATTAACAGGTCATATGAGATTTGGTGAATGGAGACTGGAATCAACTAATGGCTTAGTTCAATTGTGTCATCACGGTGGAAACCACCATGCAACTGATGCTCGCCTTCTTCGAAACACTTGGACTGAATATTTTAATGAACCTGGGGCTGTACCGTGGCAAGAGCGAGTCGTACTTGGACAAAATGCATCTTAAATATACAATAAATTTAAAAGAAAAAAAAGGAATTTATTTAATGCATCAAAGTAAGGCAAGAAAAAGAATAAAAAGTTTAATAAAAAATATAATCTTTGTTTAACATATCATTTTTATTGTCAATACATATCTAAATATCTTTTATCACATAAAGCGTTAGAATATCAATAATAATTTATGGAAATTCCATATTATAAACTGAGAAAAATAAATTTACGTATATATCACATTTTTTTCTTATAATTAGTACAGAAATAAAAAAAAAGCTCTTACGCACTAAACATTAATTAGATCAAATACGAGCTAAACGTCTTATTTTGTGATAAAATGTTATCAATCAATTAACGTTAGAAAAATCAATATTAATTATCTTATTATATTGAATGTTTAAAATAAATAACAATCAATTAAATACGCATTATGTGACTAGCATAAAACAAAAAACTTCTCTTATTTGATGTCACTAAACTTGTAATTCAAAGTTATTATAAACGTTTAAATTTTTTAATGTAAATGTATACGACATATGAAATTTAACGCTAATGCTATGATACATGTATGTATGTACTGTAAAATAAAATTTACCTTAATTGTGTCACAGTTTCTTACAAATCTAAATTATCCAAATAAAAATCATTATAAATCTTTATACGTCAGACAAAATTATAATGTAACTGTAACGTTTATAATAAATTAATATTTACTTCTGTTTATTACAATCACAGACTTTTAAAAAAATAAACGAATATGCACTTTAAGATATATATATAATATAATATTTAATAGTTTAAATTTAAAAAATATAAAAAATAGAAGATGTTTTGTCTTTTATTGGCTTAATTGGCAAATAATAATTTCTTTATTTCTGCCTCCAATAGTTTCCTACGTTGTGGGAACATATCTCTTAATTTAGCTCCTATATAAGCTGTAAAGTGATCATTAGTATCCTTAGCATCAACAGGGGAATGGGGAAGAACTATTGGCTGTGAGGCTATCTGTTTCATGACTTCAATAGCTTCTTCTACACTTGATCCATTTTTTTGCTTTTTTGATACTCTTCGTTTCGTATAAAGTGTTTCACTATCTTCCGTTTCTGTGTATTTTTTTACACTTTCGGCAGAGACAGGAGTAGAATTTCCAGATATTGGAAGTGAATGAGACGTTGACGGAAAAATAGTTGACATAGATGACGTACTTCGACTTGAATTATCTTCTTGTAAAGATTCAGGAGAGTTTGGCGATGATTCGATGGACATTTGGTTGTCTTGAGGGATTAACGTTAAAGTCTAAAAAATTTTAAAACAAAAATGATTAATTGTTGTTTTATATTAAATAAGTAACAAATTATAATTTTTAATTAACTTATAAATTATAATTAATTTTAATTATAATTAATCACCTTCGAAGTTGCATCAAAATAAACATGCGTTTTCTTCACAAATTTCTGGAGCTGGAACTTGCAAACTCTGAACATCGCTGAAATCTTGCCGATCTTTTTCATTGTAAAGTTGAGACTGATTGTGAGATAGATTAGGTACATATGGCGATAAATTAGAGACACTTGGTGCACTAGAAATTGTCTTTCTTAAAAATAAAAGTCTTGTGTAAAAAGACCATCTCGGCTTGAAAATTTCTTCAGCACCACAACCACTTCTCTTTGATTCTCGTACCTTTCTATTGTTGTCAAGAAATGTGCCTCTCATATTTTTCCACCGTTTTTTCACATGTTCAACTATAAGAAAAATAAAAAATTATATAAAAATGTCTTTGTATATCACTAAATAAATAGTGAAGATAAATATATCACAAGATAATTACATATCACAAACAAATTCTAAACTTAAAAAAAAATTAAAAATTTTTGTGTTTTCTTACTAATAAATGTGTCATTTAATGTCTTTATATGAAATGTATTATTATATTAGTAATAAAGTGCAAACTAATATTTAGTTAATAATACATAAAAAATCAGGAAACTTATTTTACTTACTTGTATAAGGTGTACCCATCTTTTGGCTAATTTCTTCCCATTGTATTTCTTTCCAATCATTTCTACGATAATTATTGTCTATAATGTCCCTTAATATTCTTTTTGTTTCTACTAATTGTAAGTCTATTAATAATTGCTCGGCCTCATTAGACCATATATTCATTTTGGGAGGCATTGCAAATAATCACAGCTACGTACACACCTACTACGTACACTACGTAATACATAACCTGCCGAGAATATAAATAATATATTG